CCACCTTCCTAGAGCAAGCTTCTGCTCCCTCTGCGGTCTTAATCCTCTCCACCTCTCCCAGTCAGCAAACAAAGGTTCTACTTCCTAGAAGGGTGGTGTAGCCATTGCTGAAGAGCATTAAAGGTTGACGGAGAAAGACACGGGCTCTGGAGAACTTCTGAGTTCTTCTGAGTTATGAAGTTTGTAGAAGAATTCCTTCATCTTTTAATTCCATGTTTTCACCAACTTTTTGGAGCCGTCTCGTAAGGCTCCCACCATCATTGTCTTTCTCATATAAGTGATTTATTTTTCTTCATGGATTATCTACTATGCATTGATTTAGTAAAGTCTGTTTTCCATACTAGATTGTTGTCACCATGAAACAGGAATGCCATCTGCTTTGTTTACAGCTATATTCCCCAATGCCTAGTATTCCCCCAAACTAATTCTGACTCACGGCAACCCTATGTGTGTCAGAGTAGAACTATTCTCCATAGGGTTTGACTTGGCTAATTTATTTTCAGAAAACTTTTTATTGTGAATTGAATGAAGGTTTACAGACAAGATCATGTTTTACATTCAACAAATCATACATGATCCTCTCCATGCAATAGCAGTCATCCTGCATCCTCCCTGAGTTTACTATTTCCATTCTGCTTACCTTCCCATCTATTCTCAACTTTGTCCTTAGGTGAATGTTGAGTTTACCTTACCTGATCTTGAGTGATTGACGGTTCCATGATGAGCTTACCTTACTAGAGCTGTTGTTGTTGTAGAGTGCCGTTGAGTCGATTCTGACCCATAGTGACCCTGTTTAGGGTTTTCTAGGAGCAGGTGGTGAGCTTGAACTGCCAACCTTGCAGTTCAAAGGACTCTGCACTCTGGTGCATTAACCCACAGCACCACACCAGGACTTGTAGAGCTGTTGTGCCCCCTATATACATACGGCTTGGCTGAAAATTGGGTCGTGAGGGTGGATTCCTTTCCAGACCTGAAGGGCAGTTGAGGACCAGCCTCTTTCTGACCAGTAAGTCTGTTTTTTTTAAATGATTTTGAGTTTTGCTCCACATTTTTTTGATGCTTTATCCAGGACCTTCTAATGTGATTCCTTTCAGAGCAATTGGAAATTATAGTTGGACACCTAGTTCTTCTCAGAGTCATGGAGACTGATGTTCACCTGTTCCATTAATCCATTGGACTAATTGATTCAATTCTCAACACTCATCTTCTGCACATGGAAAAACCAATAGCTGAACCTTAAACATAAGATTTTGAGATCCCAAATGTTACTCCTGGTGTGGCATTGTAGGATAAGCACTAGATTGTGAACTACAAAGTTGGCGGTTCAAACCCACCAGCTGCTCCTTGGAAATACTGTATGGGATCACTATGAATTGGCTCTGACTCGATAAACTTTTTTCTTTTTTTAATCCAGAATACTTTTTCTTTAATTAAATTTTTTAAAAAGCTTTAATTGTGAATTGAGTGATAGTTTACATGGAAGAACATTGATTTTATACTCATTGTTTCATTGAAATGATTACAATCTCCTCCATGCATCATCATTCAACAGTATTTGCTTCCATTTCCTCTTTTCTTGGGGGTGGGGGTGGGGGTAGAGGGATGTACACAAAAGCACTCAGGAATAGTAAAGCCAAAGGGCATATTCTGCAAGCCTGCCTCCTGACCACCAATACTCAATCCCTCTCTTTCCATGAGCCTAGAGTCCCTTTCTGCATGTCCTCATTTAACAACAAATATTGATATGAACAGTGAATGGGGCTTAGGCCTGCCACGTATTAGTTACATGACCTTGGAGAAGTTACCAACTTCTCAGCATGTGTTGAACCCTTACTATGTGCTGGGTATTATTCATTCTATGAGCTTTGTATGTTTCTATGAAGTAGTTGCTTTGTTATCCTCCATTATTGACAGATGAGGAAAATGAGAACCCGAAAGTTATATAAACTGCTTAAGGGAGGTAGCTGGGGGCAGTGTTGGGATCTCATAGTCAGGAACAGTGCTTGACCTAGATTTGAATTAATTATTGGTCCCACGGTTTCCCAATTCTGCTGACCATCCTTTGTTCTCTACATACCACCCCCCCACTCACTCCCATAATTCCTTAGCTATAAAACAGGGTTAATCACAGTTCTCCCTCTCTTTGCCCCTCCCTCACTATTCATTCCCATCACCCACATGTGGCTGAGTCTTCAAGAAGATGATGGTATAGGCAAGGTTTGGGTGCTGTGAACCAGGAGTGAGGTCAAGGTCTCATAAAAAGCTTTTTCAGAAGCCTAGGGGCAATTCCTCTCCACCTTCCCACATGCTTCTGGGTCCTGGCTTCTCTTTCTGGGAAACGGGTTTAGGAATTGACGAAAGGATTTCCATTTCTGGAAACGAACAGCTGAAAAACACTACAATTGCCAGATAGAATTTAAAAGTCTTTGGAAGCATTGAAGTGCTGACAAGGCCCTAAGAAATGAGTATGCTCCAATTAGAGAATGGAAACTGAATCCATGGGGTGAGCCAGACACCAGTGCCCCTTGTGCCCTGAAGACACTGGCCAAACCAGGGCAACTAGGTCTTTTACTTTGAGGATTATCAGAGTGGAGTGAGCTCAGGACTCAACTGGGAGAAGAGTGAGAGACCCCGATAGTTCCAGAACCCCAAAGAGTAAAAGCCAGAGGAAACCCCACCCCACTCCCATGGGATGGCAAGGAAAGTTGCCTTGGTGCCTAACAGAGCAGGAAAGGAAAGAAACAGCCCTCGGGGAACTCTAGACTCATTTATACCAGCCCAGATTCATTTGTAGCACTAGGTGAGGTGCGGGAGGGCAAAATGCTCAAGTCAAATGTCTTGAAGTACCCTAAAAGGAACATGTCTTTATTTTATGTATCAGAGCAATCCCACACATATTTTTTTCCCCAGGGACATGAGCATCTCACAACTGAAAAGCATGGAAGAAGTGATCTAGGGATTAGGCAGGTTGGGCAGCTCACAGGTCTCAACCCTCTCATCTGTAAGTGGAAGGGCTCAACCAGATGCTCCTAAAGAGCCCCTGTGGTGGGCCAGTTCAGTGACATTAGGTATGTTTTCACTTCGTATTCTGGTGATGCCTCCTCAGGATGAAGAGTTAGGAGGATGAATATATGGACCAGCCCAAACTATGTCCTCCAAACCATGTTAGAAGGAAATGAGCAGGAGGCGGCACCCAGCTCCAGACTCTGGGGGAGGTCAAAGAGGGAACGAATGGGGGTTGGTGGTGGTGTTTGAGGCCTTTGATGTGTGCGTGGACAGGTGGGTGGGTGGGGCTGTAATAGAAGCTACTGAGGAACAAGGCAGGGAGTTTCTGGGGCTTCCTCAGCACTGACCTAGTTGGGCCCCCCATAATTACTCTCTTCCTCCCTTGGGAGGCTACAAATAGGGATACCCTGTGTCTAGGTTCCTATAGCTGAGACATCAACCCAGTGGTGAGTGCCAGCTGCTTTGGTCCTACCCTGGTTAGGTTGTTGGGAAACTTAGGAGATCCCCAATCACCTGCCTGTATCCTGCCTTGTGGTCTGGGCATGGGGTCAGAAGGATGACCACAATAAGGATTAATGGGATGAGGGGTGTCAGATATGTAGACTTGGGGGTTCTCTTGGTCACTGTGGGGCTTTGGGGAAGTTCTGGCTAGGTGGTGTGCAGAGTTGTGATCTGACTCGGGTGGGGCCAATGGGCTAGAAATGTAGGTGTTGCCTTCAGTTACTCCAGCTCCTTCCTCCTTGCTTCTTTGCTTCATTTTTGGGAGTGGGTTGAGACAGACCAGAGCTGCCCAGGGAAGAGAGGACTTCCAGCTAGTCTTCAGGAACTCAGCTTCTGAAACAGCAACAGTGGTGGCATGGGACAGGCTGGCGGGAACCCAGGAGGGCATGCTAAGCACCTCTGAGGGTCCCTTAGGCCCTGGAATCTTGACTGCTTTCTTTCCTGGGCTCCTGAACACCCTGCTTCAACCATAGTGTTACAGCCTGGGCAGTTTTTAGCACCATCATTGCCTCCCAGCCATCCTTGGGGCCCACAGAGATGCAATCATTAAGGAGAAAGCCTTGCTTTCTGCGTCAAAGGGCTCCCATCTCCTGGGACAGCCAGAAGTGAGTCATAGGGCTCACATGGAAACAACTCTTGCCTTCCTGCCGCCTCAGGGTTTCCCCGGGCTGGAGGCCTTCTCCCGGAAGGGTGGTGATAGGGGACAACAGAATTGGCAGAGGTGGATAAATCCAGGAAAGGCCTCCCCTCTAACCAAACAGTGCCTTCTATCTCAAGATTCCTGAGTCAGAAGGATGGACTCAAGGTGGGCAGGCCAAGGGTTGGTAAATGCTGGTGCTGACAACCTAGGTCAGGTCCCTGACTAGGCCTGGGAGGTGGGATTAACCCCATTGTACAAATAAGGCACTTGCTGTGTTTCAGTAAGGATAAAAGACCCCTTATCACAGTTAGAGAGAGGCAGAGATGACTCTAGAACTTTTCCCTTTGGATAGAGTTTCCTTGAGTTTGAGGGAGGTGGGACCATCAGGAAAGTGGTGTCAAGGTGACAGGGGTCCTCTCAGACTCAATTCTCCCTGCTATTGCCCAGCTTTTTCAAGGGCCTGAGGACTTGGGTGAGGGTCTCCTTGTACAAGTTCCTGGGGAAGGAACTCTGGGGTCCTGAGGGAGAAGACTTCCAAAACCATGGGCTACTTCACACCGTTTCTGGGTGTTGGGGACTGAGAAAGAGTGGGAAAGAATCGGAGAGTCCTCAGGGACCACCCTGGTGGTGGAGGTGGTGGGGTGAGTGGAAGGCTAGGAGAGAAACTTTGTCCTTCAGGGGTCTTCAGTGAGATGTGGCTCCCATCCAGGGCCAATAGTGATCAAGCTGGTAGCCTGAAGCCTGGGGGAAACTAAGACAATCTGGGAGTAGTCTCTGGGGACCCTGGAAGGCACTGTGAGCAGGAAGTCTGGCCTGGGCCTCAGACTCACTCCTTTGTTCTGTGACAGTGAAAATGACTAGACCCCTGGAGCAGGCGGTGGCTGCCATCGTGCTTACCTTCCAGGAGTATGCGGGGCGCGGCGGGGACAAGCACAAGCTCTGCCAATCAGAGCTCAAGGAGCTGCTGCAGAAGGAGATGCCCACTTGGACTCCGGTGAGCACCAGGGGGCTTGCCTGCCTCCCCCATCTAATAGGGAGCTTGATCTCTGTAAGGAGAGACCTGGGGACAAGCATGAGCATAGCAGGACAGCAGGAGCAGGTAGAGGCTAGATTGCATGGAGGTTAAAAGGAAGTAGACTGACAAGACAGGAACCTTAGTTTCATCATATGTAAAATGGGAAGACAATGATTGAATGAGATCACTATGAGGTGGCACAAACTGTGCACTCAGTAGTAAATAGGTATTCAATAAAGAATCTGAAAATGAGGATTTGGGGGAGGGATTGAAAGGGGTGTATTTATCAGAACAGGTAAGTGGCAGTTGACCCTCAGAAGGGGTGTGGATTGGAATGGAGTGAAATGTTGTAGGAGGGGACAGAGGAAAGGAATGTGTGAAGCTCTTTGACCCTCCTCCACTTGCCCCTGCACAGACGGAGTGTCGGGAGTGTGACTACAATAAGTTCATGAGTGTTCTGGACACCAACAAGGACTGTGAGGTGGACTTTGAGGAGTATGTGCGCTCACTCACCAGCCTGTGTCTCTACTGCCATGAGTACTTCAAGGACTGCCCCCCGAAGCCCCCTTGTTCCCAGTAGTCTGCTCCAGAGAGATAGGCTGGCCTGAAGGGGCTTCATCTCTATCCCTTTGGTGGTCCTGGGCAGGTTACCACACCCTTCCCTTCATTCTCCCCAGTACTTTCAATCTGGAATCTCCTAGCTTCACTCCTGATATGTCAACTCATTTTACCCAGGAGGCCCAGAGAAGTGAGGGGATCTTCCTAAGGATGTACAGCTAGCGAGGGGTCCCACCCTATTCTCTGAGGCCTGTGCCTCCTCTCTGTGGCCTGTGAGCTAGGGTGGGAAGAGACGGGATCTGTTTTGAGGAAGCTGAGGCCCAGCAGAATGTGGGCACCAAGGAGACCATGGGTGGGAAAGGCCCTATAACTCCTAATAAAGAACTGGTGTCAGCTGGGCTTTGTTTGATTCTTCTGACAGGACATGATGGGGCCTTGGAACAGAGCCCGGCTGAGCTGTTTCTTTGCTCCTCCCTGGTCTTTTCCAGCCGAGGAAAGGAGGCTGAGGGGAGGAGCCCTGAGCTACCAATGGATCCTAAGGGTAGTTTCAGATCCCACAGAAATGAAATGGGCTGAAGAGTCCAGTAGAAGGGACAGGGTCACACACAGGTTCAGTCCTGAAAGGACCTGAGAAGATCTCTCTCGCTCTGGACATTTTGATGGAAAAGTTGCCTTTGGTTGTCATGGAAGGTGGGAGGGCAGCCTAAGGTTCCTTGGGGACCACAGAATTGAACTTGGCTTAGTCTCCTTACTAGATGTTCTGAAGAGAAGGGAGGGGCTGGGGATGGTGGTGTATGGGGCATTGGGAGGGGTGTTTTTTTCCCATGCCCTGGCTGTGGGAGCCCAGAGGGCAGCAGTAAAAGGATTAATGTGTCTATGGTGTCTACTCCAGCTTGAAAGGGATGGCTTGAGTTGAAGAGGAAGGTATACCTTGAGGAGAGTCCATCCCTGAGTTTATATCCCACCCTAGTACATTAATTTTGATCCCTGACTTCCCCATTTTATACCATTTCACCTCTAGTTCTCCACCCCAACCTAGATTCTTCATTCCTGACACATATCGGAACTCTAAACTCCCCTCCTGACAGTACACCTGTTGTTATTGTTGTTGTGTGCCATCAACTCATAGCGACTCTGAATAGGGTTTCTGAGGCTATAAATCTCTGTGGGAGCAGAAAGCCTTACCGTTCTCACATGAAGTGGCTGGTGGATTTGAACTGCTGACCACGTGGTTAACAGCCCAACACATATCCCACTATGCCACTAGGGTTGTTGTTGTTAGGTGCCATCGAGTCAGTACTGACCCATAGTGACCTTATGTACAACAGAATGAAACACTGCTCGGTCCTGGGCCAACCTCACTACTGTTGCCACGCTTGAGTCCATCAATGCTGCCACTTGGCCAATCCATCTCGTTAGGGGTCTTCCTCTTGTTCTCTTGACCCTCCACCCTACCAAACATGATATCCTTCTCCAGTGACTGGTCCCTCCTGACAATATGTCCGAAGTATGAGAGATGAAGTTTGGCCATCTTGGCCTCCAAGGAGCACTCTGGCTGCACTGCTTCCAAAACGGATCTATTGGTTCTTTTGGCAGCCCATGGCACTTTCAATATTCTCCTCCAACACTATAACTCAAAAGCATTAATTCTTCTATGGTCTTCCTTATTCACTGTCCAGCTTTCGCATGCATATGAGGTTACTGAAAATACCATGGCTTGGGTCAGGCGCACCTTAGTCCTCAAGCTGACATCTTTGGTCTTCAACACTTTAAAAGGTCTTTTGCAGCAGATTTGCCTAATGCAATACGGCAGTTGATGTCTTGATTGCTGCTTCTGTGAGTGTTGATAGTTGATACAAGAAGAATGAAGTCCTTGACAACCACTAGGGTACTCCCCTTCAATTTATCCCTGCACACCACCCCCTGTGCCTGATCTCCACTCCTTCACATCATCACTACCTCACTTAAGACCTTTCTCTACAGATATACCTGAGGTGTGCTCAGAGCCTCCTTTGGACTATCCCACTCCCCCTCCTGACCTCTGACTCTCTGGCCCCCACTTCACTCAACTTGGCAGAGCCCCCTTTGGGAGGAGAAAAGGGTTGACGGAGTAGTTCCAGCAGCCCTGGGCCTTGAGCTTTTCTCCCTTGGTTTCTGGGTATCCCACAATCCCTAGCTTTCCTGCTGCCTGGTGGGACAATTCCGACCCTGCCCTCCATATGTTGGGCTAGACGATTCCTCCGTCCTCCCTCCTAAAATGTGGGCTGAGCTCTATCTATATGCTGGGTGGTGCCCATCCATAGACGTCTCTGCCTATGTCCACTGTGCCTGTTCGCCCTCTATGCCTACTGGTGGTCGAGGTGGGTGGCGTGGAAACTTGACTTCCAGGCTGTGCTGGATGAGGGGACCGCAGCACTTACCACATCGGCCCACAGCAGGAGGGCTGTCTTCTCTCTCCCCTATCCCCTGTCATGGGCAGGGCCTGGCCTGGGTATAAATAGGTCAAACCGCTGGGCTTCCCCCATTTTTCTCTCTCCCCAGCCCTCTGTCTCTTCTCAGCACTTCCTCTCTCTTGGTCTGGTGAGTTGTGGGTGCCTGACTGGCATGCAAGGGGTTTTCAGGCTGAGGCTCTGCGTATGGAGAAGGGGAAGTGGGTAGGGGCCAGATGTGCTAAGTAGATCCAGATGTGAGATCCTGATGTGAAGACTCTGGGCTGGGATGTATATGTTTGTGTGGGTGTAAGAGAGAGGAAAACAAATGCACTGAAAGAGGTGTGCTGGTGACTGCACTTGTGTTGAGATGCTGGGGTGTGCATATGCTGTTGCTGCAGTGTGTGTGGTGTGTGTGTGACCCTGTGAATTCACATTGGCATGTGTTGGCTGGGTTGCATGAGACTATCTGTGCACACTTGGGTGTGGTAAGCAGTGGAGGCATTAAATAACTGTGGGCTTCTGTCTAGTGGTGTCCCGTGAGCCCTGCAAGGAGCCATGTAGTCCTAGATCTCTCCTCCTTCCCCTCACTCCCTGTTGTGCCACCTTGCCCTGCCCCACCCTACACCAAGCAAAAGACCTCTAGTTTTTTTCCGCTGCAGGGCCTAGGGCAGGCTTCCAGGGGCCGCGCCCAGCACTGGGAGCTAGAAGAATGGGCTGGGGCGGAATGACTGTGGGCGTGGGAAGGACCCAGCAGGCTGTGGAAAAAGCTTTGCTGAGGCACTGCCCGAGGGAGGCCCAGGGAGCTTGGCCTAAATCTTCAGAGCCAGGGCAGTGGGTCTTATGTCTGTTTGCTGCACAAAGCATTTGTTTCCTGCGCCACATTCCCACCTCCACCCCAGGAGCTGAGCCCATTTTCTTGGGTTCTGCCCATTGTGGGAGCTGAGACTCATCAAGGGACCCTTAAGGGGAGGAGAGTGGAGTAGAGTACATAGCTGGGTGGGGTACGTAAGGGTGCCTCTGTGACCCCACCCCTAGATCCTGACTGCCACCATGGCACACCCCCTGGAAAAGGCCCTGGATGTGATGGTGTCCACCTTCCACAAATACTCGGGCAAGGAGGGTGACAAGTTCAAGCTCAACAAGTCGGAGCTAAAGGAGCTGCTGACCCGGGAGCTTCCTAGTTTCTTGGGGGTGAGTGGGGTTTGCCTGGGAGGATGTCCCTATAGGGGTCCCCTCAGAGAAAGAACAAAGCCTTGGAATGCATGAATCTTTTATAGACCATTAGCTATGATTAGTATCTATCACTGGAATTGGGAAGTGGGAGATGGGGCAGAGTGCGTATCAAACATCTAGCGTAAAAGCACAGTGAACAGGTCCCCTCGCTGGCCCAGGCAGAAACACACAGAATGAACAGGTAGGTGATGGGCCAAATGTTCTGCACTTACTGCATAACCTAACTGGCGGGAAGACTGAAGCTCAAACAGGCTAAATGACTTCCCAAGGCAGTCAATGCACAAAACTGAGATCTGAACAGAGACTGAGTCTGGCTACCACCCTAGCAGTGGACAATCTTTGAGTTTCACACCCCTATAGACCTTCCCTCAAATGATAACAGCTTCCATTTTTATCAAATTTTATATAGTTTATATAGTGCTTTTATAACCACTACCTAGCTGGGTTTTTTTTTGTTTTTGTTTTTCAGTTTGATTTTTTTTGGTAGTAAAAATACACACAATGAAACATAGTCAATTCAACAATGCCTGCATGTATGGTTCAATGACATTCTTCAAGCTGTGAAACCATTCTTGCTATCCTTTTAAAAGTTATTCCACCATCATTAATGTAAACTCAATGCCCCTTAAGCAAAATTAATTGGATTCTTAAGACAACCATGAGAGAAGATGCTGTGGCCCCAGATTTTGTTTGACAGCCCCCAGGTTCTCAGCAAAGTCTTCTTCCTCCAACTCTTCTTTCTCCTGCTGTAACATTAGCCCTGAAGGCTGGAGTTCCAAAGACTGGGAAGCTCTGAGTTAGAAGTGGAATCCTGGTTCTAGTCTCCTCTCTAATGCTGGGCTTCAGTTTTCTACCTGTAGCTTCTTCTTTCTCTAGAAAAGAACCGATGAAGCTGCATTCCAGAAGCTGATGAGCAACTTGGACAGCAACAAGGACAATGAGGTGGATTTCCAGGAGTACTCTGTCTTCCTGTCCTGCATCGCCATGATGTGTAACGAATTCTTTGAAGGCTTCCCTGATAAACAGCCCCGGAAGAAATGAATGCTCCTCGTATATGGTGGGGGGCTCTTCTAGCTAGGGTCTCCCCTGCTAGCAGTGGGGATGGTAACTCACCCTGGCTCCTCCAGACATGTGCATGATGCTGAGCAAATTCAATAAAGATTTTTTGAAACTTGAGGCTGCTGGTCTGAGAGACTCTTGGGGTTGAGGAGGATGCCAGGGATGTGAGGTTTCATGAGGAATTGAGCTTCAGTTTTGTGGGGATCATACTAGTGAAGGTAATTCAAGGAAGTGGGGTGACTGAGTATGTGTGTGTTGACTCTGGGACAGAGTTGAACTCTGGAGGAACTATGGACAAGGAAAGGGACCACCAGAAGCTTGGAATGCCCCGCTGTGGGAAATTAGCCACCAGTCCACTCTTCCCTCCCACCTTGCTTGCTTCTGGCAGAACCTCTAACTGAGGCTGGGAAAGATTTGAAGGTCACATATGCTCCTGGTTGGAGTCTGGAAAAGAGTTTGGGTGCCCTGAGGATGAGGAAGGGGGAAGGTAATAAGCTTGGGTCATAGACAGGGATGAATGAGGCCAGAGTGTGAGGAATAAGTCTGCTTCTGCCCTGAGCTGGAGTTGGATGGGGAAGTGGGCTGGCTCTCAGGCTTGACATTTAAAATCCACTGACTCCAAACTACAGGAATGGATTAATCCTTTGCTACCCACAGTAGGAGCTCTTGTAGCGTAGTGGTTAGGAATTGGGCTGTGAATCTTAAGGTCAGCAGTTCAAAACTACCAGCTGCTCTGTGGGAGAAAGATGAGGCTCTCTGCTCCTGTAAAGATTTACAGCCTTGGAAACCCTATATAGGGCTATATAGGGTTGCTATGAGTGGGAACCAACTCAATGGCACTTAACAACAACAACCCATGGTTGAGTCAGGGAGGGTAATATGGAGGGAGACAGGGCAGCTTTATAGCAGCATGAGAATATATGACATTCTCTAATCCTCTGTCCCTGCCCCAAAGGCCCAAGGGATGAGATCTGTTACCAATTAGGGATCATGTGCTTTCAGAGAAGGACAAGGATCTTGGAAAGGGTGACTGGAGGCTGGTGGCTAAGCTGGGAGTGATGAAGATGGTGAGGAAGTGACCATAGTTTTTGAGACAAAATTACAGACATATGATCTGATACATGAAATTGAGATCCCCCCCCCCCCAAATATTAGGCAGGATGTTGCTTTGCTTAGGGTAGGTAGGTTAAAGGCAGTGGCTTCCAGTGTGCAGTGGGTTGGATTGAAGTGAGATTGTAGGACCAAAGAGAAGAATCCATTTCATATATAAGCTTTAGCACTTCCTCTAGCTCTAAGAAAATAATATATAGCCAGGCAGCTCAAGGCCAGAGGCCAGATGTTTTCCTTTACCCTAGCCTAAGAACAAAGACCACCAGTCCTGACCAATTAAACTGTAACATCTCATAGTTTGCCAATTGTTAACCAATCCAAAGATTGTAAAGCTGAGAAACCTGAGCTGTTTAAAAACTCTATAAAAACCCTGTAGACAAAAAGTTCGAGGCTCTTTCCCTATTCCGCTGTGTCGGATAACGTTAGAGACCTGGCTCGAGTTTGAATAAACAACCCTTGTGTATTTACATTGGTGACGGCTCCTGGGTGGTCATTGGGGACCCTGAATTCTGGGCATAACAAGATATCATGATCATTCCTGATAATAGGGGGAACTTGAAGGAAGAGATGAGTAGAGGTCAAGTTCAGAGACAGGATTTTGACCCCTTGATTACTCATGCTTTTCCTCATTCCACTCATCACACTCTGTTTTCCTGTTTTAAGTTTCAGAAGTGTGTGGTTGGTGACTCAGATGTTCCCTCAGAGTTTTGCCACAGAGAGTTGGGTAGAATTTTGGTCCAGGAAAAAAGTTTGCTTTCTCCCCCTTCTTCTCCCTCCCCACTGCTCTTCCCACCCTCACAGCTGCCCATCTTTCCTGGGCGTGCTCTCCCCTGAGCCTTCTCCTTCACAACTCTGTACTTGGAAACTCCTGTTGCTTAGCAGTGAGCCCTTGCTGCCTGTCTGGCCCTGCCAGCTGGGGATGAAGGTAGAGTGGGGGTCAGTGGCAGGGATTCAGCCAGGCTAGAGTGATGGGGCAGCCATCCTTGGTTGCTAAAACCCTAACATTGTTATGTTCTCCTACTTGGCCTCTTTGCTGGTAAACTGTCTGGGATGCAAGCAAATCTCTTTTTTCCCTTCCTAATTCATGATTGCACCCTAAACCTATACTCCACCCCATCACTGGCTTCCTAAACCTTCTCTGTCCTGGATTTTCTCCTCAATTTCTGTTTTTTAGTCTTCCATTCCAAGGCTCTCCAACAGTTTTTTTCCCATGAATATCAGTGACGTTTAGAAGAAAACATTTATTTTAAAACACCTTAAAAACCTTGGGCTTTGAGGTAGCCAATAACCTTGACAATGCCCTTAGCAGGAAACATCTTCCTCTACGGACCCCCAGCTCCAAATGTGTCTGCTCTGTTCTTGGAGTGCTTGGGAGGTTGAGTGGAGTGTCCCAATTGTGGTCTAGGAAATGGAGAGAAATACACACAATTGCTTAGGGTTCCCTCCCCCCCCAGGCATCTTAGACTTCCCTTGTTATGCCCAATTGTCTCATCAGATTGTGAGTTCTGATATTTGGACTGGAAAACGTTTCTGGAACTGAAGATGTGTGTGTCATGATGAATTCAGTGTGTCCCCATCCTCTCTGTTTATAAACAAGGAAGATGAGATTGGTAGAGGGGGTTTCTCTTTGCTTCCATCCCAGGAGGCTGTAACCTGGGCCTCCACATGTCCCTGACTCCTTCTCATTGGCTCTTTCTTGTCTCTGGTTTCCTGGGGACTGGAGCAAGGGAATAAAGGTAAAGAGCAGGGGGGGTGGGGGGGAGTCAATTTCTGCTGCTGATAGTCTTAGGCTTTGCTTTTTCCTTTGGTGAGTCTTTCCTTCTTATCTCCTTTTATCTGGTGGGGCCAGCTGAGTGATGAGGTTGGAGGGGGAAGAGCTATGTGTTCTCTGCAATGAGAAACCTGACCTGCTGAGCTGGCATGCGATTAGAGAGAAGTAAGTGGAGTTTGTGGGACTATGGTTATTAGAACTTTCCTGCATTGGAGGGTACAGGTGGGGATCAGAACTAGCCAGGATGCTCCTGTTGGTTGCCAGAGTCCCCTGCCTCTGACTGTATTTCTGTTTGAGTCTCTGTGAGGTTTTTGGGTTGTTGTTGTTAAGTACCTTTGAGTCAGTTCTGACTCATAGCAACCCTGTATAGGGTTTCCACGGAGCAGCTGGTGCATCTGAACCGCCAATATTATGGGTCAAACTGACCTAGTGGTTGAGTACTTAAACTATAGCGACATGCGGGTGGTGGGCAGTAAATGATAGGTGCAGGTCAAGAACTGTGGATGTGTTTTGGGCTAGGGGTGAGCACCTTCTTTCTTGCTCAGTTTCCTCCAAAGGATTTACCTGTAACCCCCAAGTTCTTTGGGTGTTGCCTTCTTCCTCTGTAAGGAGGAAGTGACTTTCAAGTCTGAGTCACAGTTGCATCTTCCCTTCGGTGGTGGTAGCTGTGCTGGTGGAATTGAAGGCCCCATTTAGGCCCAACTTCTGGATCCAGGTCTCAAAATGATCCTGGAGATGCCATTATGCCCATCTGTGGGCCTCTTGGCTGGTCCATGTGTGTGCAGTTTTCTGGGTCCTGAAATTGGAAACCAGTTTGACAAGTCCAATTGCCTCTCCCAGGCTTCCTGCTGAATCTTATCTCCATGTTCTATCTCTACCCCAACCCCCTCCAACCCCTGAACTCTATTTTCACCCTGTCCCCCACTTCTGTAATTAGACACTCCCAAATGTCAGGTCATTCAGGCACTAGGGCAAAGGAGGGTGAGCAGGGTGGGGACTGCCTCTGGAAAGCAGTGCCCAAGCTTGATGGGGCAGAGAGAAAATCTTGACCTTTTATACTCACCAACATCTACCACCAGTTCTTTTTAGGGAGGTCACTGTATCATTTCTCTGCCCTAGGCCCTTTGTTGAAATAGCTCCTAAACAGGAGAGTCTGTAGCCTCCATTAGCGGCTGGCTAGTCTCATTGCTGTAGCTGCTCCAAAATTTGCCTTGGTCTTGCCATAGCTTGTGCTGATGCAGTTAAGTTCAGTCATTGGTGAATCTTAGTCTTACCGTGGGTTCTAGCCTCTGGACTCTACAGGGAGGGCAGTGTGTGTGGGCTGATGATATGGCAAAGCACAAGACCTGGCTCCCTGAAGAATGTGATCTTTCCATCACTCTCCAGAGTTAAAAACTGTGATGGAGACTCCGCTGGAGAAGGCCTTGACCACCCTGGTCACCACTTTCCATAAATATTCGGGAAGAGAGGGCAGCAAACTGACCCTGAGTAGGAGGGAACTAAAGGAGCTGATTAAAAAGGAACTGTGCCTTGGGGAGGTAAGTGACTGTCTCCTCCCCTTATTCCAAAATCTGAGTGCTTCCTGTGGGTGAAGAGACAAAAAAAGAGGAAAGTCCAATCCCACATTTAGGGGTTTCTCCCTATGAGGAAGGAAGCTCAACCTCTGCTGCCATAAAGATCCAGCATTCCTTCTTGCAGGGTTCTTGAATCTAAGCTAGTGTGAAGAGAGACAGAGGAAGAAGAAAGGGGCCATAATGAGCCAATATAGCTCAGGTCTCTGTGCTATAAGCTTGGATCAGGGTTTCCCTGGGAAGGAGGAGGGTTTAGAGGAAGGAGTGCAAGGAGCCCAGGCTGGTGATACTAGACTGCTCAGTGGGAGCAGAATGTGTGCAAGGGATCATGGGGTATGGAGGGATCCAGGACAGCTAGGTGGAATGGTACAACCCCAAAGCAAGGACCCTGCCTGAGTCTCCTCTGTGTGCCAGGCACATCTAGGTCTCTCAAATGTTGGCATGAAAACCAAAAAGACAGTCCTACTAATTAGTGAGCACAGGGCAAGAAAACAACAGAACTGATTGTAACCAGACGGAGATGGTGGGAGAGAAGTGCTGACAGAGAGGGAGGCCTGTGAGGTAGACATTATATTACTTTTATAGTTTTGAAAATCAATGCTCAGATAATGTTTTAGTTACCTAGCCTGCTGTAACACAAAGATGACATCTTCAGAAGATTCATTTTCTCCCAGTTCTGAAGGATAAAAGTCCAAATCTGGGTCTTAGTTGTGTCAATTTCTTCCTTGCCAGTAGCCCTGGGTGTTCCTGAGTTCTTTGACAATCCTCACATGGCATCTGTTTTCTCCCATGTGAGAGAGTGTTTCTGTATCTGATTTGCCTTTTTTTTTTTTTTAAAAACAAAACAAAACAAAACAAAACAAAACAAAACCCCTCAGACTTTAGATCAAAAACACCCCTTACATGAGTTGTTGTTATTGTTAAGTGCCATTGAGTTGGTTCTGACCCACAGCAACTCTGTATAGGGTTTCCAAGGAGTGGCTGATGAGCTTGAACCGCTGACCTTGAGGTTCAAACCGACTTTGTAGTCTACCTCATTAGGCCACAGTGTCACACCAGGACTTACTTGGGTATGAGCTAATACAGCCAAGAAAATCCTATTTCCAAACAGCATTAAATCTACAGGCATACAGTTTATATTTTATTATATATTTTGGAAGGACACAATTCAACCTGTAACAGATACATTATACTGCTATAACATGGTCAAGGACACTTGGCTAATGAGAGGTTTAGTTAGAATTTCTGGCCATGCTTAAGTACCACCCTCCCTTTTCCCTTTAAAATTCAGCCTGGAAGCTCTCCTGTCACCTCATATTCTGAGCTCTGGTGAGCCTCCTCAGAGAGACGCTCCCTAGGGCATGCGTCTTCTATGGGCCAGGGACTGAAGCAGGTATGGGTGTCATTAAGCTTGCTCTCTGGACTTCCCAACAGGCTCTCTGCATCCTGGAGTTAATGAGGGCAATGGATGGGACCATGGGTCCTACAGGAGTTAATTATAGGGAGACAGAGACCTGGGGGAGGGTCTGGCTACAATAGGAGCCCAGGCTGGGGACACGAATCATGCCACAGTGAGCTGTTTCCATCTCTGTATGTCCCCACATTTCTGTCTCCTGTGGAAAACCTGGAGCTGAAGGCAGGATGTGCCTGTCTGTATTTTTTTTCTGTTCCACCTCAAGGCCTTGTCTCCAGGTGGGTGGGATGGCAGGAAACCAGACAGAGACAATGCCTCCTGAAAGCTTCAGAGTGATGAGTGTCTTCTTAGCTTCCAGGCACTGTTCTCATATCTTGTCTGAGTCAATTCTCCATCTCTGAGTCAATTCTCAATTATCCCTTAAAAAGGAGAAAGAAAAAGTCAGAGACTTGGATAATCCTCAGAGTCATGTAATTAGTACCATTTGTAATAGGTGTTGATATAAAATCTATATTTTTGGATGATAGAAGGTGGTGAGGTGAAGGGTAACTAGTGTAATTTATTGAGATTCGGGAGGCAAGTCACAGAGCCCTAGTTAGCCAGATCCTGGGCTGTGGGGAAGTCTCTGGGAGTTGGGGTGCCCATAGTGCTGCTTAATCAGCTGGGGATCCCCCCAGAGCTGCCTTCCTGGGGGTGGAATGGGGCTATGCAGTGGTCAAGCAGGGCAGGCAGGGGTTGCTAAGCTCTCCCTCTACCTGACCCTTTCAGAAGATGAAGGAGAGCGCCATCGATGACTTGATGAAGAACCTGGACAAAAACAGTGACCAGGAGATCGACTTCAAGGAGTACTCGGTATTCCTGACCACGTTGTGCATGGCCTACAATGACTTCTTCTTGGAGGACAACAAATGACAGGGCTCGTCCTGCCTTAGTGTCACTTCACGTTCCTAGCCTTTGCAGCTCCTCACACAGACCCTTTACTTCCTTGCAGATGGACCCTGCTCCAACCTCCTTCCAGTTGAGGAAATAAAGATTTTCTATCCCAGGTGTCTGGAGCTTGCTTTTGAAGGTGTCTTGCTTCCAGTTAGAATCAACTCAATGGCAGTGGGTTTTGTCCACCTTGGTAGGAGGGGTGGGGCTTTTCTTTGACGGGGCTAAGCCAGCTTCTGGGTGTCTCCCACTCTCTTTTTGTTCTTCCTGAGTGCCGTGGTCACTGAGCTTGTCCTGGATTAATTTGTCCTCATGCAAAATGGGAAAGTGGATGACCAGGCTTCTGTCCAACTCTGCAAAGATGCAGAGGAAGATGAGGGAAAGTGCTTGGAGTAAGGGCAATGAGGGTGGTTGGGGGTGGGGATCTTGGGGATAGTGATAGGCTAGCCGGTTTGACCTGTCTTTAGCGCTTGTGAGGTCACCCTGGAAATCTGCCAGTTACTTTCTCTCTTCTTCATTTTTCCCCTCAGCACTCCCATCAGCTCTGGGATCTGGTGTTTCTTGCTCTTTCCCCAACTGCCTCTATCAGACTCTTTTTTTCAGAAGAGGGTCTGAAAGACCTTTTCATACAAGGGTAAATAACCAGAAATGCTCACAGAGCTTGGTTCAGGCAAGTGTGCACAGTAATGGGCAAGAGGCTCTAGGGGTGGCATGGTGGAAGGGATTTTTCGGTGGGGATGAGTGCTTCGAGATAGCCTTTAAATCATATCGGCTGGACCACTGATTGCCCCCCTCTACCCGATCCAGACCATGTGTGTATCCCCAAAGAGCAGCGCCAGTGTGGAGGGCACCCGTATCCACTCTCCAACTCCTCTTCCCTCCACTCTTCCATACTGGCGCCACTAGCTGAGGAAGAAGCACCAACAGAATATCGCCATCTCGGTGGTGCCCTCTTCCGCTCCATCCCGTGCCACCACCGCAAAACAGAGCTCGGGATCCGGGGAAGTTCTGGGTTTACTCTACTCGCAGAGGTCTCCACAATTCTTCCACTAGGTTCCACCATCCACGCTCCAACCCAGAACTGCCCCGGGGCAGGAGGAGTGGAAAGTTGCAGGGTGGGGTGGACGCAGGGCGGGCCGCTAGCGCGGGGTGGGCTTTGGCTGGGCCAGCCTCCTGGACACGGCCCGCTATAAGACCGGCGTAACTGCGACACGGCCCAACCCCTCCACCGCTCCTTCACGCTTTGCAGCATCTGTACGGTGAGTTCTCACTGGGGAGACCAGCCCTCGGGCCAGGAGCGCTGCCATTCCCTCCCCAGCTCGGTGGCGGTGGGCTCGGTGGGCTGCGAGTGACGCCAGGATACAAACTGTACCCATCTGTGGAGCCTCTGAGGGGTGGGGAGAGTCCGGAGCCGCCGGGAGTGTCTGCTGGGCTAGCCTTGGGCTCAGGCATCCGGATGGGCGGCTCCCCTGAGGGTGCCATTATGGGGTGCAGAAGGGTGTGTCTGCGAGTGTGTCAGCGCCACTGTGTATAGCCCCAAGAGGTTGTGCGTACATGCTATGTATGTAGTCCCCTGTTTTCCCCCTCGGAGTCCCCAGCTTTTTCTGGAACCCCTGAAGGATAGGTCTCTGCTGTGTCCAAAGCACAATTTACTGCTTGAAATCCACTTCGCCTTTTTACTCTGGGCCCGCTCAGAGCTCTTGTCTCTTTCTTGGCCCTAGACCCTCCCCTTTCCTCTTCCTCACATCCCAGGCTTTCAACTGATGTCATCTGCCTGTGACCCAAGCCTCAGTGGTTTAAGTAGAGTGGTCAAAGGGAGTGAGTGAGTGTGTGTGTAAGTGTATGTGTGCACTGGGGTCAGAATTCTTGGAGTGTGTAGGTGAGTGAGAAGTTCATGTTGTCTATAGCCTGGTCTTCGGGGCACTGACCAACTCCTCTGTCCCCAGCTCTAAGCCCAGCCCTCAACCATGGCATGCCCCCTGGACCAGGCCATTGGCCTCTTAGTGGCCATCTTCCACAAATACTCTGGCAAAGAGGGTAACAAGAACACCCTGAACAAGAAGGAGTTGAAGGAGCTAATCCAGAAGGAGCTCACCATCGGCTCGGTGAGTGGACCTTCTCCCCGTGCACCAATCTCTTGCCCTTTAGAAACAGAATTAGGAGAGTGCTATGCTCTGTGTGTCAGGTTCACATTTATCCACACTTGGGGCCCTGGTCCCTTCCAAAGTGGTGGACCCATTCTCCTAAGGGGGTGGAGAACACTCGGCTGGGCATTCTTTCCCCTGAGTAAGGAGCAGGAGCCAGGAGAAGTAAACTCAAGCTAACCCAAGGGTGCACTAAGATGGACCCTTAGTGACAAGTGAGCACAGAGTCACTTGTATGAGAGAGGACTGCCTGGGAGCCCGGCTGGAGGGAAGTCCCTGGAGGCACTGGGAAGGGAAAGAATTCAGAGTTTTTACCACTAATGGATTTCCCGTTCTAACATATTAGAAGCTGCAGGATGCTGAAATTGTAAGGCTGATGAGCGACCTGGACCGGAACCAGGACCAGGAGGTGAACTTCCAGGAATATGTCACCTTCTTGGGGGCATTGGCTATGATCTACAATGAGGTCCTCACAGGCTGAAAATAAACTGTAAAGGTGAACACACACTCTAGGGGGTCTGTGCCCGTCAAATTCAGTGGCGGATAATTGTACAATAAATATATATTTCTTTTGGTCAAGTCTACACGTATGTCCTGGTGTTCCAATGATTTCTGTTTTCGTTTTCTGCATGGTGTCAGCCAGAAGGTTTACTCAGAGTCAATCTCTGGGAGTGACTTCCAGGAAGAGTGGTGGGAGCGTCCACAAAATGATGGACAATACTGCTGCTAGTTCACCAGGTGAATTAGAAAAAGATACCACCCCTTCTTCCCTCCCAGGTGATGGCCATGTTAAGAAAAAGTTCAAAAGGTCCCTAGCAGAGAGGGTTCTGGGGCAAACTTAGAGAAGGAAATGGTCCTTGGTGGGCTTTCATGGGAATTGGGGCCCCAAAAAGAAGTAGGACAGAGATAGAGTCCCTGCAGGTTCTGGGAAGAGTAGAGGTTTGCTCAGGGTGTGGTGAGAGGGGGAGGGCCAGATGGGCCCTGGGGCAGGGCTGGCCCATTTTCTCACCACAGTAAAGTATGGGCAGGGAGGGCACATTAAAAATCTCCAAGGCCCTGGTTCCAGCAGATTTGAGACCAATGAAGGTGCTATGACTGAGTTCACTCTGGCTGCCCATGCTTCAGCTGAAGGCAGAGACAGCACATTTTAGGAGTCTGTGCCTACACCTCAGAGACTTTTTATTGGGGGTGGGTGGTCTGAGGAGGTGGCAGCTGCAGGAATAAGTAATCAACCAATGGGGTGATTACAAATGGGGCTGGGTTAGGGCCCTTGGGACTGGGCCAAACACAGCTTTAAGTCTTTCAGTCAATATTGACCCAACCTGGTACTGCAGACACAGCAGAATGAATCACTTAGTTATCCCACTGGAGCTTAACCTGGTCCTCAGCACCTCCACCCCCCACTAGAAGATGACTAATTGTCTACATGGTTGTCCATTGTCTCAATGAGTGTTTTCAGGCTGGAAGGAGAGGGAGAAGGAAAGAAAGGGAGTAAGCTTTGCTTCAGGGCCATGATGCTTTTGCCTCAACTCTCCTTTCCTGTGCCTCTTCTGAGGTGGGCAAATTTCTTTCTAGGCTCATGGGGAAGAGGTCTCAGTCTCACATCCCATGATTCTTCTCCTCTCAATCTCTTTGCTTACTTTAGGACCCAACTTTGTAGACTTAGGTAAGTCGTCTTCCCACTTTATGGAGTGAGGATTGAGCACCCTTCGAAAAGGGCAGGGAGCCTCACCTTATCGGAACCCTTCCTCATCCAGTTCTGACCTCTTCCTTGTGAGATCTCCTCGTCTGCGTCGAAGCCTTAGCTTTATTTAGCTACCATTGGAAGAGTCCTCCCCCTAGTGGACAATAGTTTGGGGCGCGAAGCGAGCGCCCTCGTGTGGACAGATAGCAGGGCTCTGAGTCAGGGTTAGTTTCTTGAATCCTTGGAGAAGGCTTCAAGGTGGAAGTGCTGTTGATGGGGCCCCAGCCTGGTTGTTAGGTAGGGAGCCCTTCTCATGTTTAGAGAGACAGGACGTGGACGCCCCGAAATGCAAGGGTAGAGGGATCATTTGGTAACCAGTAGTCATCCAAAAAACAAATTAATTAAAAAAAATAAAATGATCAGTTTTGACTTCGTTTAAGATATACCTGCTATGAGCAGGGCAACGAAGGGTTTTGTAATAGAATCTGAACACTTCCCCTCCCCCAGCCCTCTCTCAGGGGCAAGAAGATGCGTGTACAGATCAGTGCTCCCCAAGGAGAGAGTATTGCTTCAGAGGGTGAAGACCCACTGCTGTGTGGGTAGAGGCACTTACTTATCAGTTGTAGTCTTACTTGTTGAGTGAGGGAAAAGAACATATTCAATATACAAATCTTCTGAAGACAGCAGAGACCAGGGAGCTCTGGTGAGTGGGTGGGCTAGGGAATGAAGTGGTGGAAGTTATGTGTGGTGGAATCAGTTCCAACTAATAGCGACCTGACCTTGTATAGGGTCTCTAGGAGTCCTGGTGTGGTGCTATGGCATAAAGCACTGGACTGCAAGATCGGTTTGAACCACAAGTCGTTGGTTCAAACTCACCAGCCACTCCTTGGTAACCCTATGAACACGGTCACTATGAACTGACACAAAAAAGCAACACGGGGTCTCCAAGGCTGTAACTCTTTATGGGAGTAGCCACAAAGTGCACGGTCCACATGCTAAATAAACAGGCCTGCCTCTGTCAGCTTGTGCTTCCTGGTAATAGTGTAGGGGAGCAGGAATATGGATTAAAAAAAAAGAAGCAAACAAACCAATAGCAAAGCTTGTGTTTGCTTGGGGAGCCATTTCTCTTTTTTGGTGGGAGAAGCAGTAATCTGGTGTACAGACTGGCCACTTTTTATTGCTTTTTGTGTCCAGCTGATTTAAAGTAGGAATTGAATCCCATGAACTCACTCTGTAGAGGAGTGGTCTGAATTTAGAGGAGGATTGGGGACTCCATGTCTTGTCCAGTTTACTGGAAGGTCAGAGGTAGGAATGGCTCTGTACTCCCCATGGGGATCAAGTCCTAACCCCTGTGTGATTGACATTAATACAACCAAATCATCTTTATATCTAGTGAAATGGAAACAGTAACAACACTGCCATTTCTATAAGCTGTTGCTGGTGCCCTCCCGCCCCACCAAAGGGGGTGGTGGTGGCCATTTAAGACTCTGAGTCACTGTTCTGTACCAAGCAAATCTGGAATTGCCAAGAATAATACCACACTTTACGTTTGTATTGTTGTTGTTTGGTGCCATTGAATTAGTTTTGACTCTAAGTGAACCTGTGTAGGGTTTCCAAAGAGCAGCCGGTGAGTTTTAACTGCTAACCTTGTGATTAGATGTTCAGTACTTATCCCATAGTGCCACAACAGCATGCCTACATTTTATACACCAACTTTTATTTTAACAAGGTACTTTTATATTTATCGTCTCTTTTGAACCTCAGAAGATTTTTTTTGTGTGTTATATATTATCCCTACTCACTTGTGAGAAGACTAGAACAGAGAACAGAAGTGCTTTATTAAGGTCACAGTATAGATTAGGAACGACTGCCAGAACCTGGATCCGATAGTGTTTGGTTCTGCTGTGCATAAGGTCGCTATGACTCGGTACCGACTCGATGGCATCTAACAAGTGATATTTTAATCTCTAATAATGTCTTAAAATATTTTATATTATCTAGCTTTTGTTTGGATAATATTTGCATGGCATATAGTTTTAAATAAATCTTCCTGTATCATTTTGCAAACAGCACATATATGGATTAAAATGATTTGATCCAGGAACTCTCCTTAGTTTGAACAATGAATTCGCTCATATATATTGTAATTATAATTCTTGCAAATGCAATTACTGTATTATTCTTATTCCTACATCTTATTTTATATTTTCTATTTTTCTACCTTTACTATGTCCCCCCCCCTTTTTTTTAATCTTTATTGAATTTCTTATAGATTAATTGAAGTAATATTTTTCCATTCCATTTTCCTTTCTTATTAATCTGGAAGTTTATGTTCTATTCCTATTCTTTTAGTAGACTCCTGGTGTGGCACTGTAGGATAAATACTGGACTGCTGACTGTGAGGTTGATGGTTGAAACCCATGAACTGCTCCTTAAAAATCTTAAACAGGGTTGCCATGAGTTGGAACCTACTCTATGGCACTTTAACAACAACAACATTCTAAATATATTCATATGCAAATTGAAGTCATTAAAATAGAAAGTAATTCAATATTTTTCTCTTCTCTTGAACAAATAAAGACCTTACAATGACTTAATTCTGATCACCACTCCTTACTTATCCACTTTTTTGGTCAAGCATCTAAGCTATTTTTCTTTGTTTTGTCCACAAGCCATCATCATCATCATTTCATGAAGTTAATATATATTGAAATTTATCTACACATTTGCCCCTCAGTATTTTTTATGTTTGAAGTTCATCCTTAAACCTTTTCTTATTCTTTGGTTGCAAATTCTCTCAGGTTTTGTTTCTCCTTATTCCACCCTTGTTTTTAAATGTATGTTTGCTGGGTTGAAAATGAGCTATTTTCTCACTGCTCTTTGAAGTTATTCTTCTACTTTCTTCTCTGTTCTATTATTGCTATTAGGAAGTCAGCATCTGTCTAATTTTTATTCCTTTATAGTAACTGCTCTTTTCTCTCTGACTGCTTTTAAGATGGAGTCCTCATGTGTACTATAGGATAAGCACTGGACTGCAAGGTCGGTTTGAACCGAAAGGCCTGTGGTTCAAACTCACCAGCCACTCCTTGGAAACCATATACAAGGTGCCTGTGAGTTGGAACTGACTTGATGGCACTTAATAACAGCAGTAGCAGCAACAGCAACAACTTTTAAGATATTATTTTTATCTTTATTTTTCTGAAGTCTCATTATCATGTCTCAAGGGTTGGATTTCTTTGTATTTAACTTGCTTGGGACTCATTCCTCTTCCTGAATCTGTGGATTGGTCTTTTTCCTCAATTCTGAACAATTCTTAGCATTGCCTGCGTAAATATCCACTTGGCTCTATTCTCTCCCTCTTCTTGCCTGTCTTCGCCTTCTAAAACTCAGAATAAATACATAGTAGAGTGTTTCACTCTCTTCCAAGTGTCTTAAACTTTCTTTTATGTTTTTCATCTTGTCTTTTTGTACACCTTCCTGGTTCACTAATCTTTTCTGGCTCACTAATTATCTCTTTAGTTATATCCAATTTGTGGCTAAACCCATTCATTGAGTTTTAAATTTTAATTATTGCATTTTTATTTTATCTCCATTGTATTTCTATTTTTGGTTCTTTAAATATTGTTGTTGTTAAGTGGCTTTGAGTTGGTTTTGACTCATGTTGTTGTTGTTGTTAGCTGCTGCAGAGTCGGTTCTAACTCATAGCAACCTTACACACAACAGAACAAAACAAATCCTGTGCCATCCTAACAATAGTTAAGCTAGCCAATTCATCCGGTTGTGAGTCTTCCTCTTTTCGCTGACCTTCCACTTTACCTAGCATGATAACCTTCTCCAGGGACTAGTGCCTCCTGACAGTATGAGAGATGAAGTGACTTCTGGTTGTGTTTCTTCC